TATAATACATTAAATCATTAATAGATGATGATTTATTATCGTGTTTCAAAATAAAAAAAATCTGAAGATATAGTCTAGTGAAGTCGATGTAGTTTTTATGTCACAGCCAAATAAAAATATTTGTCGCGTGCCAAATAGAAGGACACAAAAGGGCAAAATTCGAGTTTACTTAAATTTATAGTCATCTAAATAAGATTTTAGGAAATTACTCTATTGTCATTGCAACAATGCATCGAAGTGCTATTTGTACTTGGAAACATAATTCAGATTTTTCATGGGAAAACGGGTTTTGCAACCTCTCGGTTGATATCAGATTCGGGATTTCAAACTTAAACAAAATATTAAAACTGATTGATATCAGGTTATAGGTAACTTGGGGTTCAAATTTGAAATCTTGTCCTCGCCAGACCAAATACTAATATATTGCGCATGTAGCGTGTACTTGCTCAGGTTTTTTCAACTCTGGAATGTGTTCTACCACATGGACTAAAACTAAGTTTTGGATAGCATGAGAAACATCATTAGCCTCTCCAATAATGTTAATTAAAATTTAGTCCAAACAACCGCACTATCCAAAAATTTAAAACAAACAAATATTTTTAATTTTTCATTGACTAACAAATGATAATTTAATAATATTTGTTATTAATAATATAGTCCACATCAATGTGAATAGAATGGCGTTATTTTTTGTCGATATCTTTTATAGTTGTGACAAAAAGTGACTTTGAAAGAGGGGCCACTTTCGTATATTTTCAATGATATCTCGACCAAATAATGAGCTAGGGAGTTGAAAATTGGTATATCGGATTTTATCAGAAAAAGCTCTAAATTGCACCAAATCATTTAAATACCAGGGTGAGGCCAATTCTGTATGGAAACACGACCAAAACCTTTCGCATTCAATTCATATCACCAGTTTACTATAACCTGGTTAAATTATAGCCTCTGGTCTAGAAGTGGCTCAAATTCAAACGTTTCTCGAAAATCCCTTACAATATCCTCACCAGCTTTCCATCTATTAAGAAACAATCTATTAAGTAGAATAGGACTTGAACTTTGCAATTACACTTGCACCTCTCCGCTATCCGTACAAGAGAGTGATATTTGAGCACTCAACCTTAGTGGAAATACGTTTTCAAAGTTCAAAAGCATTGTGTTTACTTGTGACAAGTGAGTGTTTAATGTTGTATGAAATTTTGTACACAGACTACACGTACAATCGAGGAAACCTATTATATACACACATTGTAGTGGCACACGCGACCAGACTAACACATTGTGTCCGAAGAGGTTGTCGTTTGTAAAATATTAATACCCTCGATCCACTATGTAAATAGGTACATCTATTCATTGCATAAATATATATATATATATATATATATGTGTGTGTATGTGTGTGTGTGTGTGTTTATACATCCTAGGACAGATCCATGAGCTGAGGTAAAATCCAACTCAATTCAGGGAAGAATGTGAGAGATTGCCAGTGTTCAAAATGGGCATTTGCAATTGGATACGTATTTTCGATCAATATTCTCAAGTAAAAGTTGATATCACTACTGCTTGATATTAGGTTATCCATAGAATTTTATATAATCTTTATTATTTTCATTCGTTTCACAGTAAAATTTTAACTGGAGTACCCACAAATAACTAATGACACATTCACAATGGCATAATTAAACTAGTTCTTAACAATTCAAAAATATATAAAGAGTGAAATCTTTGTGAATATAAATATTAGAAAGATGTTCAGAAATATTAAACATGTTCAGCAAGTTATAATTATAAATAAATGATTAATAAAATAATTTGCAAAAAAATAAGAATATATTTTTCCTTAATTAGTCGATCAATATTCATAATTTTATCTTTAATTACTGATTTTGAGTACAACCACAAAATAAAAACTTGTCTGTGTTAACGTAGAATACGATAATTTATTATTCTATATCTAGTTTACGAATGCCACATTGTAAAATAAGCTCAAAACAAAAATATCCTCTATAAAATATTAATTTTTAACCTGATTACTATGAGCTTATTAAATAAACGCATGGAAAGCTACTTTATGGCAGAATTTACTTTGCGTGAATTTATATATCTGCAAATGCAATTCCGACACAAAATTTCATAATAAGCTTAAAATAAAAATTTCTTCCGTAAAATGTTAGTTATATATGTCATTATATAATATCCTTATATATATAAGAAAATATTTATCATTATTTCATCTGATTACTCTAAGCTTATTAAATAAACTCATGAAAAGCTACTTTGAATTTGAATTTATATATCTACAAATGCAATTCCGATACAAAATTTCATAATAAGCTTAAAAAAAAATTTCTGTAAAATATTAATTTGCTGGTGCTTATTATTTCATCTGATTACTCTAAGCTTATTAAATAATTCCATGAAAAGCTACTTTAAAGCACATTGTGATAATTTACCTCTCGAAAAATTTCACATCTTGATCGCAAATGCAATTCCGACTCGAAATTGCACAATGAGCTCGAAAAAAAAAATTAATTTAATATCAAATTAATTTTTAGACATTCTTATATTTATTATTCTATAAGATTGCTATAAGCTTAACACGTTTGCAGACAGTGAAGGTACAAAAATTGACAGTCATTTTATTTTTAAATTGGTTGTGATATCATCATATTTTATATCCAATATTTTAATCATTATACACGATGAATGCTGTAGCATCCGCACCAAATATTAGGATTTCATTGTAAAATATCATGCGAAACAGTAGGCGATTATGGAATATTGAAATAATAATAAATAGAGTTTTAGAGTGTAATACTTCAGAGTACTGTGGGTACTGTGTGTAGAAGCAAAAATTGAAAAGTTCTAAGCTAAAACTTTCAATGCTAGGTTTCCAGTTGTAATCACGGAAGATTAATTAACATTAGAGGTTTTTATAACCATGTAACAAAAATGCACATACTTTGTGTGAGGCAAAAGTTTTGTTCCGAAGCATACCTGTGCTCGAAGGAAAAAGATCCTCCGGGTCGTGTTAGGGAACCCGTAACAAACTAACAAACAAATTTGCAAGTGGTCTAGCAATCTACTTTATTACTCTTTTCCCCCCGAACGTGCAAGGAACGTCAGTCACGTCTGCCGGGCTTTATAGTCGGTGTATCTGTGCTAAAGCGTATTATACCGTATTATAGCGCCTCGTGCCGGACTAACACCTCTTGTCCGAAAGGGGCGCCGCCGGAGCGCCGTAGCGCCCGGCCGCCGATAATGCCCACCGGGGAGCGCTTGTTTCGGAACGCTTCAAAACTTTCGCGAGCGCAAAGCTCGCTAACACAGAACAAAACAAAAGCTTGTAATGATAATTGGACTAATTGCGCCCGGCTTCAACGTGAATAACACAATCGCACGGCTTTGGACGGGCGATAGTTTGAATTTATGGTACGGCCGGCTGCGTTTGTTAGCAGGCTATATACTATAGAGTAGGGCAGCCTGATAGTTTTTCTACGGTTCGCACTTGAATTTTTTGCTTTCGAGCTTATTGTGCAATTTTGCGTCGGAATTGCATTCGCGAACTGGATATAGAATTTCTAGCGAGGTAAATTATCGTTAACGTACCTTTTCATGAGTTTATTTAATAAGCTCACAGTAATCAGATAAAATAGTAAGTATAGATATGATTAAAAAATAATATAGCTGAATTTTTGTTCGCGTTGAAACCAGATATAGAATTTTTCGCTAGGTAAAATATTTTGTTCGCCAATTCCATAGCTTTTCATGAGTTTATTTAATAAGCTCACAGAAATCTTATGAAATAATAAGTTGAAGACTCAAAAATAATATTCCATAAAAGCCTTACAGTTTCTTAAGGGGCACAACTAATGTAAAATTTTCAAAAAATCAAATTTTCAATTTTTCCATATTTCGATAGGTTATACCTTTAAAAATAACATACCAATATTTTAAATTGATATATTAAATAGTTTTTGAGTCACAGCCATTTAAAGAGTATATATATAGTACAATATAGTATAATGATCATTTAATCTTTAAACGCGTTTTTCTCGAAACAGCATTTTCCGAATTTGCTGCAGCGATTACTCAAAAACAAATGATCCGATCACTATCAAATTTTTTTACATGTTTTATATATAGTTATCCGTAAAATGAACTATCGATTTTTTCTTCGGATCAAAAATCGAAATTTGGCAATCGAAAACGACCAAAATTTTGGGTAAAATTCGACTTTTTTTTTAAAACGCCGTCATTTTGTCAATTTTTGATTTATTCGCTTTATCGTAGTTCATTTTACAGACAATATTATCTAGTTTAATGAGATTTTTTTTTTAATTTCATCCACGTAGAAGGCCGGAATCACTGCAGCAGTGAAAGGCCTTTTTTTGTCGCGCCGTTGGAGATCGACGATAATTCAAAAAATGTTTAATGTTTTTCTTTAAAACTTTTACTATGTATTCTTAAAACATGTATAAATATATTCCTAAAATTTTGAAATGATTGATAAAGTAGTTTTTTTTAATATAAATCCCAAAAATCATCTTTTTTTAGGCGATTGCACTAGTTGTGGCCCTTAAGGTCATTACTGACGATTTGTTTACATTAGTACAAATTTTATTAAAAAAAACGATGATGGAAATCAAATCAGTGTCAATATACAAATATAATTAAAATAAATTAATGAAAAATTATTATTCATATTACTAATCGAGCATGTATTTTGAAACCAATTGCCTTAGGCAACTTGTGCTATTTTACCTTAAAAGAAAATTGGTCTAATCACTAACTTTAGATCTCATTAGAAATAAAAAATACCATAAACAATATTACATAATTTTATCACAGTATAAAATGCTCCTTGAAAGAGCATTCTGTGTACGTTCATTCGTGGATCTAAGAATAAAGTTCTGCTTAAACGTGTCTGACGTTTCGTTCATGTCTCGAGATAAGAGCAATAAAGTAAATTGGCTGGGTCCTTAGAAATTATTATGTCACTAAACTGAAGGTCTGCGCGAGTTCAGATTGTCTGAATAGGAAAAATGAAGAATAGTCACAAACTTTATAAAAGAGAGGTAAACGAAAATCTTAGAATAAATAATATTAATAATAAAATAATATTAGAATAAATAATGTGTCCTAAAATGATAGATCTCAGTAAATTAGTGTCGTTCAAAGTCATCCCAAAATTTATTTATCATTATCCTGATTGGTTATTTTCTGACCGTCGGTCATTTTCCGAATTGGCCGGGCGGTCCGGCGTCGAGAAAGTCATTACCAAAAATGTCTTCCCATATCAATGTGTTAAAGGCGCTTAAATGGGCAGTAGTGCGGTCTGACCAAGGGGGCCACGGACTGAATACGACCACCCTACATGCACTCTATACCATTATAATAGTATCGCTCTCTCAAAACGATCCCGGTAATGGCTTCGAAACTTATTAAGCGCACAATCATCAGGAACAAAATTATTAACGAACGCGAAATTAATTTTCTCTTCACGTGCCCGTATTTCATAAAACAGATCAAAGTAAATTGTGGGCTTGCGTTACCGTGTTGGATACAAATAATTCTTCTTAACGGAATACCGTTTTAACGCTTTATGTAGGTATACTTTATAAGACGAACGTGTATATAAGTTACATGAAAGGTGTATTCGTATACAAGGGATGTTCATCCCTTGGGCAGTTATCGCGCTGGGGTTGTATATAATGAATTATTTTCTTCTTTAAGACAATCATCCGCTACTCAACGGCCATTCTGTGAAATTACATGATTGTATTTATCATATTTATCTTATAAAATATTACGTAAGTACACGTATCTACCAGCAACGTTATGGTATACTTTTATATAAAAAGATTGTGGATTTTATACGCGCTCTTTCACAAGAGGACTTAACAATTTTGCTTTATGAAGATAGGATTTGGTGATTCGATTTTATTAAATTGATGACAATTATGAAATTCAAATTTAATGTGTGAAAATATTTTTCATTTTAACAAATTGAGATGGACACAACTATGAAAAAAAATATTAGTAAAATATCCACTTCTTCACTGTTCTGGCATATTAATAGTAAATCTAAATTATCATTAGAAAACAAAATTTTACTTTATAAAGCCACAATAAAACCGATTTGGACTTATGGCGTAGAGTTGTGGGGCTGCGCCAGTATATCAAGAATTTCATCTATCCAAAGGAAACAATATAAAATTTTAGGGTGTATTGCAAATGCACCTTGGTATGTCAGCAACCAAATACTACATAACGATCTAAAGATCGATACTGTCCAAGAGGTAGTGAAAAACAGAAGTGGAATTCATCGCGACAAGATCATCAACCACTATAACCCCAAATTAATTTCCGTATTACAAACATCACATATTAGAAGATTGAAGAAGAAGCATCCCTTCGATCTAATGCATTAAAATGGAGTAGCCCACAGGGGTGATCTCCGTCATGTCATATATATAGAACTCCAGTACTGTTACTGGAGTTCTAATAATCAACACAATAACTTATAGAATTTTTTTTTCTGATTGCTATTTAATTATTGTAAAAAAAATCCACTTCTGATCAAGCCTGACACCAGTATTCATAAATCATAATAAACAACATATTTAGGAACGCAGTATTGATAATTTTTGGGCAACAAAATGTGTTAGAAATTCTACAAGTTTTGTAGTAGTATTCACACTAATTATAATAAAATGTAATTATTAAAATAAACTTGCCTGGTTTAATGCAAGACATGCCACACGCTCCATCACACAAACATTTCTTCTTCTTAGACTTGCAATCCTCGTCTGAAGAACATTTTCGAAGACATTTCTGACCCTGAAATAAAATTCATATGTATTTACTTTATACAATACATGTATTTGCTCTTTACATATAAACTACAACAATTACCACAATTCATAACCTTATCTTATACCAACACTGCAATTTATAACCAGGAACAATCGTACTTTTCTAACAAAAAATATTTATTCATGAATCACTTTGTACAATTACACCGATAAAAGAATGTCTGATTATAAAATTACTACTGTAAAAGAACACATTAATGTTGATAAGAGCTAAAAGCTCTTGGAAAAGTTTGCTAAGTATATGCATAGTTCAAAATGCACTTTCTCACAATAATGCCACCAAATATGCAAATTATTTTCTGACAGAAATTAAAAGTTAGAACTTTTAAAAAGCTCTGGAGGTGGATAGTAATAAATGTCACCTAGAGATAATAAGTACAATCTCTACATTTTAAAATTTAAAAATTAATTTGAAAATGCATTGTATAAGAATTATTATCTATTTAGTTCCAAGAAAGTTTGTAGGATTAAAATCAAATTTTTAATATTTTTCTTTTCGTTTTTCAGAAATATAAATGTTAAAAATGTGTTTTGATTAGTGTCATTGATTTTTGTAGTTTTCAAAATAACTGGTGTTTTTATCACAAAAGAAAGCTCAAAACTTATGAATGCCTTTTTACAAAAAAATCCCAATAACTGATTATTTTTTTATAACTGTATATATTGTATATTATATCTATTGAACTAAATCGTTGAAGTCTTATAAATATAAAAACAAAAATTTCTCTACCATAAGTTTCGTAGCGCTTGAGGGAAATAAATAACCATTCTCTATACTTAGTTCGATTTTTAATACCCCCTTGGCACAATTTCAGAATTCCAACCCACTGAAGTAAAAGCAGAAACGTTCCGAAGTATTACTTTAGTATATCTATCTCTCAAAATCGGATTTTCCTGGTGAATTCGAGAGTTCGAGCCCAAATCACTAAATAGTTTCCTCCTGGATAGCGCAAAGACGTGACGCCATTAACGAAAAACAATCAGGGCCATCAATTCCGATGGCGTGTATTAGATTAAGCTCATGTAGCCTCCTGTATTTGCCATTAATATGGCTTTAAGTCTTTAAACATTCCACGTTGTAGGGGCATTACGTTTATTGTGATTGGTTTAATCCGGGAATAACATAAATGCAATTTAGGAAGTACAACTTGCAAAGATACTGGAGTACCATTTCAAAATATTAGGGAAACAAATATGAACATTCAGGAGCATTTGAGAAAGTCATCAGAACATTACTGAAGTTTATTTCTGATAGGGTTCCTAGATCATTGTTATGGAAAATAATCAAATCTATCAATCATGTTTCGTGTAATTGGTTCAAAATAGTAAGAAGCTACTCTTGAATCCAAGATAGCAGGAGGTTACTCTAAAATTTCATCCAAAAGATTGGGAAACATGTAAAAGCACATGGATGATTTTAGACAATTTCGACTCGTTTTTATAAGACAGCTTTATTTGAGAAACAAATAATTGGTAGATTCTTCTCTAAATCTCAAATTTTATTGATAAAGTCAATGATTTACACATATCGCAAAGTTTATGCGATAAAGCCAAATGCCACTTCCACCTAATTTTTAACTTCCCATAGGGCAAGTCATAGTAATCGCAAAAAATTGAAAATGAAAATTTTTATATATCTTTACGTTTCAAAATCTTCTAAACATTTTGGCATACATTAGAAAAAATGGATGTATGTGTGTGTGTATGTGTGTGTGTGCGGATACAAATTTTCGTCGATGATTTCGGGAACACGGATGAAGCGATTTGAATAATTAAAAAGACATTCGGTTTGTATTGATAAGGAGACGTGCTTTGACGAAGGCACGTCTAGCCGTTCCGAGATATGGGGCAAAAAGTGCCAAAAACGGTAGCTCAGTTTTTAAGAGAACGAAGCGTTCGATTTGAATAATTCAAAAAACATTTTACTTGTATTAACAAGATGAAGAACTGATCAAATTTTCATGAAGGCAGGTATAGCGGTTTCGGAGATCTAGCGGTCTAAAATGATCATTAGACATATACACACCAAATTATCAGATATTTTATAGAGATTTTAACAATAAGTATAAATTTTGTTTACATTCCTATGGGTTCCGTGCTAATGTTTATCAGTTAGACGGCGACGCGGCGCTTACGCGCTTCGATATTTTGTCTCTATGCAGTTAAAGCAGCATGATTGCTTTGAAAAAATGTTCAGAATTTCCAAAATAATTCAAAATAATTTTTTCTGCAAAAAGTCTTTATTTTCAAAAAAAGGAAATTTTTGTCAAAAGTTTATAGTTTTTCAAAATTCTAATTTTTTCAGAGTAATTTTTTTTCAAAAATGTTAATCTTTTTTAAAAAAAATAATTTTTGGTACGGGAAGTTCCAGCAATTTTATTTTATTATTATTTAGTTATTTGTGTTAGATTGAACCATGCTGCTTTCTCTATTGCCATCAAGGTACCTTTTAGTCCTTAAACATTGTACGTTGTAGAACATTATGTTTATTGCGATTGGTTTAAGCCAGATGCAATTCAAGAAATAGAAACGATCCAAGATAGTAGAAGATTACTCTAGAAATTACACAGAAAATCGTTCAGAAAAACTGGGACACATGCAAAAACACAAGTATTAGCACATATGAAAATGCTTCTCAAAAAACTCTTAAGTTTAATCAATTTTGATGGAATATCACGAGACCAATGTCTGTTTCCTAAAGATCCAGGTGAATAAAATCATTTGTACTACTTCATGAATAGTTAGTTATTCGTGTACCAGATTAGGCTTATACAACTTTGTGTATTACCATTAATATAACTTTAAGTCTTAAAACATTCCATGTTGAGGAAGCATTACGTTTATAATGATTAGTTTAAGCCAGAAATAACATAAATGCAGAATAATCTCTTGAAGATACTTGAGTATTACTCTGAGATTCATTCAGAAATTCCTTCAGAGAAATTGCAAATTATGGAAATATATAAATAATATACTGGTAAAGGATATATGATAGTATTCTAAAATGTAAATATATTGCATTTAAATGATTTTGCAATGTAATATTTTGTGAGATTAATGATTATGAAGTTACATAACTCTAAATAATAAAAGATTACCAAAATAATACTTTTTACCACTGCAGAATGATTTATCTCTGCAAGGCAAGTTCTATGAACCATTACGGTTTTTATGGAACCTCCATGTAACATAATAGCTCTCACGTATAGAAAAGGTAATTAACTAACTTATTTTTGCCGTTTTCACAAAGAAAAACTGTTTTTGCTTAAAAGAGTACTTTTTCAAGAAAAAGTTCATAAAAAATGACAATGTAATTTTGTTTTATATATTACAAAGTGTTTTTAGTACATGTGTTGCTCGAGCTGCTTTTTATAGAACCATTGCAAACAGTTTCGACAAAGTTCTGTAATTTCTTGCGTTCCGTATTAGATTAGATTTTGTTTCGGAAAGTGTTATTATATGATGTTTTTAAATTTAATTCAATGGGAATGGAAATTTAATATGGAACTATATAATTTATTTTTACAACTTATAGTTATTTCTATTACTGCTATTATTAACTTACTAGTAAAGTGGCTTGTTCCTCATCCCTTGGACAATCAGGTGATGGTGAATTCCTTGGATTTTTATAAACTCGTCCATCGTCATCAGCTTCAGAAGAGTCATCATCACCACCTTCCTCCCAATCATCATCATCATCATCATCAGCATCAGCTGCTTCTGCAGGGGCTTTTGTTGGACCTGCCAGACCTAAAAATAATAAAAAAAATAAATAACCAAATTAGAAATTCCCTTGTATAAAAATGTCTCTCTATATGTATCTAGAGACAACTTTATGTAACCTTTATTACTTTTTTAGTATAAAGCTACAGATATTTTCTATTTATCCTTGTCAGTAAAGTTGACAAGGAGAATTCGTAGCTTCTCTTCATTACAAAAATTGTCTTGAGGTAGGTACATGAGTTATATAAAGTTTTGCAACTGAGTTAACCTAAATAAAATTTAAACTTTTGTTATCTGTAAGCGTTTATCCATAATGCAGGTATTCATGCAGCTCAGCAAACTTTTTATGAAAAAAAAACTCTTCAAATAGTTTTGTATGGAATATAAAGTAATAATATATATATATATATATATATATATATATATATATATTTGATTTTTATAAAAAGATTTTTATAAAAAGATAGATTTGATTTTTATGAAAAAGAAAACTCTTCAAATAGTTTTGTATGGAATATAAAGTAATATATATATATATATATATATATATATATATATATATTTGATGCTATGAGTAAATATATATTAAACCCAAGAGAGTTGGAGTTTTATCGAATAAAACTTTAGTTAATTTTTAATTGTTTAGTTTAGTCTCCAGATACCAACACAATTTCAAAAACTTTTATCAGAGGCGGTTGAAAAATATTACAAATATTTTTGTAACATTTTTCCACTATACAAAATTGCCAAAAAAAATGACAGACGTTTATCTTCATACACTTTTTCGATTTTTGTTTCCTTTATATATATGTGCATAATGTGTAATTTTATAGCATAGTGCAAATGCAGCCGAGATTTGCTCTGTTCTAAAAGGCTAAATATTTTACGTTTCTAACATGCTTGGCATTTTCCTTTTATGTTTTCAATTTTACGATCAAAGAACATATATTGGAAATGTACTATGTAGTAACATACCGAGACTTTCTAGAATTTTTCGCGGGTCGACGCATGTCATACAGGGTAATAAAATTCCCGTGTATGTAATGATTTTTCTATCAAATAAGCAATTGGAAAAATGAAACATAGAGATCTTATTACGGTTGTATAAGCCATATACCACACGGTAATATATAAATCACTCACTATATCGAATCATAATGTTCATATTGCAATAGTTCAATTAGGAGTGCAAAATTTTAAAATATAGCCGGGAAAAGCAATTCAAAAGTAATAAAATATGAAATCCATTATATGACCAATATTAAATCTTCTCGGAAGTATAGATGAGAACTAACTAAAGTGCACTCAAATCATATACTGCATGTTTCACAATTCCGTTAGAATTTTATAGCTCTTCAGTATTGATTCTCTCGGGACACTTAGAATTATTTGCTTTGTTTGCACTATATTTTATGTCTGATGATATAAAATAACCGTTTCGGACTCTATACTAGTTTGGACCACTATACAACTTCGCCTAATAAACTTTCTGTGTCCTGGGAACGAAAATGTAAATGGCAGATGTTTTAACACATGAGTTCGAGAATTCCATTTAATTAAAACAAAGTAATTTTAAATGTCCCGATTTTCAACACTTTTTTTAATCAAGGCTTAAGTAATGGATTTTGACTGAGGGTTTAATTAAAATTAGATATAGTAAGGTTCTGGACAATGGGATATAAATGTGAGCAAAAACTCTATGTGGGTAGTTAATAAATCAGATGGAACAATTATAACTTTTAATATATGGGAATTCTATGAGAATAAATTTTGCCTGGTTTAACCATTGGTCTATAGTACAGTGCTTATTACATACTAGAGATGGGTAACTCACTCCGGAGTTATCACTCCGATTCAACTCCTTCCTTGGAGTGAATCCGAGTGGAGTTGTCTGATTTTGATTCCCAAGTTTTTTGTCAATTTGAGATTTATATGCATATTGAAATGCATAAAATAGTAATTATTATAATAAAATGAACAAAAATGTTTGAACTATTTGTAAACTATTTTCAAAGTCTTAATAAATCCTTAGATATGTTAACAACACACTAGTGAACACATTTTTGTCAAGTATTATGATTCAAAGTTGTCGGAGTTGTGGAGTTGTTAAGTGGATATAACTCCTCTCTGAAGCGAAGTCAAATCCTAACCGAAACGGCTTCGGATATGATAAGCCCATCTCTATTACATACTATTACATGTGAGTATTTTTTGTGTCATTTGAAGTTGATAAAATAATTAAAAATAGTACCCACTTTTGTAAGGCTAGGATGTTAACCTGCAAAATAAACTTATAAAAATTCATTCATTTATTTTTGATTAATGTAACGTCCGAACATTAGAACTCTACCGATTATTGATCTTTTATCATTCAAATTGAAATCTCAAAATTCCACGTTCATCCCAAATATATGCAAACCTTATTGTATGATCGGCAATGGAGATTATCAGGTGCCCGAAATAAATTGCAACTGGGAATACATTAATGCAAACGTTCTAATATGAACGTATTGATATACGAATTTAATTACATTGAACACTAATTTGAATAGAAATTATTTACTGAAATCAGTGAATATAATAATGCTGTTGAATATATTATCATTTAATAATAGAGAGCCTCGTTCACGAGGCTTCCAGTAGAATGAGCTTCTAAATCCCTTTATCCAGAAATGTGGTATTGCATTCATAAAATAGCTCTATTATGTTAAATAGTGCTAAATATATAATAAATAGTGTTAAATTACTTACTATAATTATTATAAAAAACTAACTAGTTTTATATAATAATCTGTTATTAGATCAAAAAAGCTCATTTAAAATAAAATTTATTAACAGATATTTAGAAAAAAATGTACGGAATCTGCAGTAAACCAATTTACCGCAAACTGTATCAAAGTTTTATATCAAACACGTAGTCGACAATATCAACAAAATCTATATATAAAATTATATACTGAATAATGAATTCATTATAATTATCCCAATATGAAATTGCAATTGCAAAAAACATGTATATTTGAAATTTATATGCGTATTTATTTTCCGTTATTCTATGCATAATATTGGATTTATATTCATTTATAAACTTAATGATTATTTTATTCAACAAACAAAATATCTCAAAATACAAATACAATACCCGATTTATGTGTTAAAATGAATATAAATCGAAAACGCGCGCTACTATATAAATTGTTTCCTGCAAAAATACTTCCTGCTACATGCAAATATGGAACATTTATAAATATATACATATATATATATATATGTGTGTATATAAAATAATACGTATTTACGCTATACCATCATTTCGTAGAAAAACAAGAAAAATAGAACTTGGCATGCAGTCATCTTTATTGTCATCGATCAAGTTCTTTCCTTAGGCCAATATAATCACAGGACTATTGTACTACGTTCCATGAATACATAAAAGCTTGCAATTAACGATAACGCTCAAACATTTATTTCTGTACTATTATATAAAAGCTACAAAATACAATACAACAATAGTTGCGAAACGTCTCTGTAATATACCAAATTAGACAGACAATTTTACAAAAAGTATTCTTGTAAGATCTACTGTTTGATAGACTACAAATAAAGATAAAAAAGTTGAAGCTGAAGGTTTATAGGTTTCGTTGGCAGTTGCACATCAGAAAATCGTTGGGACCGTTTCCTTGCGACAAAATATTGGTATAAGAATTTTTTAATACTGTTACATGGCCACGAAGGGCTTCGATTTCCTGTTGTGCGTCTTCAAAGTGTTCACTTAGGACGTTGATCTGGCATTGCATGCGTTGTCGAATTTCATCACGATCGTTTATTGCGGATCTCGCCGCAGCACGATTCAAAGCTAAATCCTTTTCCAATGAGAAAACTCTTTCTTGCAGCATTTTCTTCTGGACCTCGTGGCGATCTTTCAATCTCTGAACCTGTCTTGCACATTCTTCACGTACCGTGTTTAGTTGCTGAACAGCTCTTTGTGCTTCTGATAATTGTTGTTCCAGCTCCTTGATCCTCGACATGCTGTCCGCGCAACCTTGAAGTTCCGACTCCATCTGGTTACGTAAATCGTTGTATTTGGTTTCAATAGATTTAACATTTGCCATCAAAGCTGCGTTGTCTTCTTCTAACGATTTCTGGGTTAATCTTGATGAATCCAATTCGCACATGAGACACCGTTCTCTTTCCTTGCAAGAACCCATCTCTATTCGCATCTGTTCCATGCACTTTTCGAGCTTAGCTTTCTCATCCAAAGCTTCTTGACATTTTAGTTGAGTAGTTTCCAGTATGAATGGTAAAGGTGACAGCTCCTGAAGTTTATCCTGAAACATTTTCTTAACGCGTTGCAGTTCTTGATTGACTTGTTCGCTGATGCGCATATTATCACGTTCCAGAATATCTACTTGTCTCCGCAATTCCTCGACAAACTGTTGGGCCTGTAAATACTTCTTACGATATTCATCCATCTGGTCCATGGTATCCTGAGCTTGTAGACGACAGTCTTCTAATTCATCACATAGCTCTCTATTTGTATCTTTCAATTTCTCGATCTCGGCCTTCAACTCGTTGATGTCTGGCGTGGGTTCTTTTGGTGTTTTCTTACCACAAGAGCAACAAGGATTTTTTCCGCCTGCTGGGGCGGCGGAGCTGCCTTTCTCAGTGCGCTGTTTAACAGAGCAAAGATCTTTGTGCATGGCCTTCATTTCTCGTTCCATGTTACTTAATTTTTCTTGCAAATCGTAGCCGGTACTTGCGCTGGGTGGGTGTTTGTTCGCGCATGGTGTCAATGCTGCGATCAGCTGACCAGCGCACATTTGTGGACAACGGCCCTCCATTGTCTCATTGAAAATCCGCCCTGCACGCTCAGAAAAACGCCACTAGAATTTTGATAGTAATTGGGATTGATTTAAATTATGTTACATTTTTGTTTGTGACATGTGATGGAATTTTCATCGAGGACTAGATGCTATGTCATCAAGTGGCTAGTATGTGTCATAATTCAACTGACAATATTTTGATTATTGTTGTCACTATTTTATAGTATTTATCCAAATTTGTATGCATTCGCACTAGATATAAGTAAAACCGGACTCGTAAAATAGGCAAGTTTTGAAAAAGCTTTAAAAGTACTATATAAATTATAATACTAGATACATAAATAAATAATATATATGCATACTTTAATTTGAAGTTGATAAATATATCAACACGTCTCCTGAATCTCACAATAATTAACAGATATATTATATATTCCTCTTGGGAATAACGCAGAATATCGACAAATTCAATCAATCTATGCAAATCCAAATGCCAGCGCCAAGGAAATTACACTCCGTTATTTGTATTTTATATCATATTTTACTCACGTCATTTTAAGTTATTCATCCCCCGAATCAATATTTCGAAAAGACACGAATATATAAATATAATAATATAGTAGAATAATAGTGTTCTATTATTTTTGCGACTGAAAATATATATACAGTGAGCAATTTGAATTCTGCACAAACACCTGCTCGGATTCATTTTATTGACTATAAATATTGAGATATTAACATTATTACTACCCTACCTCATAAAGATATATTTTTTAAGTTCAAAATATAAAGCCTAGAGATAAAAATATCATTCATACATTGCCGATAAATTATTATAATGTACTTACAAATGGAATAAATTTAGAATATGAGTAATATTTCATTTCAGGAACAGATCTATTTGTTATAATTTGTTAGCGATTCTTATATTTCATTGTGAAAGTCGCAAAAGCATTATTTGGACGTCTGCCAAAATCTAATTTCGTGTATAGAGTACGAGCTATTGAATAATCAATATTTATTTAATACTCCGAATATCGTATTTCCGTAATTGTGAGATATAGAAAATAATTATAAAATATTTAGACACAAATTATTCAATAACGGTAAAAGAAACATCCAAAATAAGAAATATGAATATCCTATAAGTTTTGTTAAATGATTAAAAGTTTTTGCAGTCTTTGTTATATAGAGTAAGAAACGTTTCGAGACCATCATTTGTGTCATCATCAGTGCATCATACTGTATCATAAAATGTATAATCTTTGAAACAAATTTGCTGACTTGCATTGTTTTATAGAACTTGGTCAAGATTTGACCATGGCCTTTTCTATTTAACCCGGAACCCTTTGGGGTAGGGAGTATAAATGTATAAAAATAAATACCTGTAACTTATAATATCTGAGAGACTAACAAAAGTAACGAGAGGAGAAGGTTGTAGAGTGAAGATTAATAAACATCGTAAACGAAATAGTGGTTTTATTCACATATCTTATGGTAACAGGATATTTATAATTTACAGTCCACTTATTATCTAATTAATAATAGTGATTCCCACCAGGACTGTTGGTTCAAATATGTACCAATTCAAAAGACCGATGGTTCACCAGTCTCTCGGAAGTCTTATTTATCAAAAGAGTGAACCTTTACCAAGGACTTATATTTCGAAAACCTTTCTTCTAATACCTTCTATAAAATCCCTTCACATATTGACACAAAATAACGTAAAAGTTACGGCCAATTTCCACACATGTTTTTAATACTGCACACGTAGTAGAATTCCAGAGTGAATCTTTTCCAAGTGTCTCCTTTTGGCATTCCGTAAATAAAACCAATATCGTCGTCTGCTTCCAAAATAATCCAGTCTACGTGTAATGTGTATTTAATTCTGGTTTACGACTTTGCATCGCGGGCAATCTACAACCATGAGTCAGCCACGGAATTTTCAACTTAATCTTCGATATAAACTCCAATACTGCCGGAGCTGTTATACTTCCTAATATTATAGACATCGAACACATCCCTTCCTGGGGCGAAATAAACGTGCTTCCAAGATAACTATCATTTATCATATGATTTTTGTTATTTTTTAATTTTAAAAGTCTACCTAATATAAAACAGACTGGGGTAATTATTCGATAGTAAATGTCGAAATTTTGCACCATAAAATGTATATACAAAAAAAATAATCAATTATATAAACAAACTGTATTATATTCATATAAATGATTCATATACTCGTAGTACGGGTTAATGAATACTTAATGTCATAAATTTTTAAATTTGGAATACCCATTTTTTATAAATTTTTCATATATTTCTGCATCAATAAATTCATATGTCAACAAATCCTTTTCCCACTATTTGTTATCACATAATTGTTTATTTTGTAAATCCATAAACATTGATGTATTGTTTATAATCTAACCCCTGTATTGTTTACAATATCTGCTTTGTTATTGAATAAATATTATCATTGATAATATTTATGATTTTATTATGTGATATTTATAGTTCAATGATCATTATTATTCATTGCAATTCTATAATAATTATATTCTTTTGTATGTAATTATATACCTATACAATTTTTCATTTCAAATCCGTACCTACTCGCAAATTATAATTATCTACTATGTTTGTAATGTTACATTTTCATAATTTAGCATCGTAATTAATATTTCATTTTATGTAAATAAATATATATATAATATATATATATATATAACACTCGTTGTCTGAATTTTTCAATAATATATAATACGTTTGACCTAACAAATAACGTTTTTATAATTATCCCATGTTTTACCACATAATCATTTTCCAATTTCATACAATATAATCATTCAAAGCTTTAATGATCTGCAATTAAATTTACATTTATAATTTATTAAAATGCGCTTTTCTGCTTTCGAAATCATATCACATTGCTATTATGAATTTAAAATTAATGAAATATCGAGCTGATAATGAACCTTCTGCTGGGTGTTCTTTGATGTAAAATTTAAAGGCAATATAATATTTTCAGGGAGATATATAAATCTATTTTTATCTGATAAAGGACAAATTTACTTGGCGTAAAAATGTGAGGTAAATATTATTACATTTTTTGTTTCCACCAAAATAGGAATATATTTATACTCGTTCAAATAAATACGGAATATGAAATGAGGGGCATTATAATATCTTAAAATATATATAAATCAGTTAACAAAAAAACCGTTTTCAAGCAGATGAATTTAGGAGAATATTCAAATGCAAATTCAAAAATTAAATAAACAATTACTCTATATATTCATATTTATTTATAATATTCATCAACTTTCTGAAGGAGAAGTTTACGTTTTTGCCTATTTGTTAATTTTATGTTTCTCGATGTTTCAATTCATTCTGAATCATTTGACATTAAAATTAGTTAGGTATGTGTGTGTGTATTTTAAGTAGTAGGGGAAAGTCTCGTAACGCCGGACGACACTTAGCGCCGAACACTCTAGTTCAGGGCTTCTTAAACTTTTTTATATAGCGACCCCCCTCAAGCTTAGAAAGTTTAAACGACCCCCTTCTCCAAATAATAAATATATATTAACCGTTATCGCACTATTTTAAATGTAAATAAAATAAGGATTGAAGAATATGTACCCATTCATGTTATATATAATTGGAAACGTTGACATAAAATATATATATATATATATATATATATATATAATATATAGATTTATTGATATGAGTGGAACAATATTAATTGTTTAATATGAAACAAAACAGCACTCAGATTTGTTTAACACAACTTTATTTATGATTACAGACGTTTCGAGACCATGGTGTGTTCATCTTCAGTGTAATTTCAAAAAA